TTTCTGACAATATCCCCTGTCAGGGAGTCATTCTTCTTGTGGAGGAGAGTTTTTCTCTCTTCTTTGAAGCCCATTGTTTGTGGTCTTGTGTGTAGTGTTGGTCTGTGCCTATGTATGTTTTGGCTTGGAGTTGCTTTGCCTGGGGCAACCAGGGAACCTGTAAAGGGCAGGGCCAGGGTGGGTGAGCAGCCAAGGTAAAGGAGCAGGAGATTGGAATTGATGCAGAAAGGCTTTGGTTTTGGGCGGTGTCTCAGCATGTGCTCTTTGCTTTGATTTTATTGCAGGTGCCACACATAGCCTCAGAGGGGCGAAGCAGCATGCTGAGAGGAGGTCCAAGAAGGTGTGTGCCGGGTCAGTGTGTAAGAGCAAATTATTGTGCAGCAACTCAGTGAGGCGTGTCTCTCTTGATTTTGCAGGGGCTGTGTGGGCTGCATGTGGCATTGGACAACTGTTTGAGGTGAGCTGGAGTGTGTGGGTGACTTCTCACAAGCACAATGGTAATTTTGTGTCTCTTGGTATCTTAGGTAGCAGAAGTGACGATGGCTGCAGCGTCCCACTCTGGAATGAGCAGGGGAGTGGAGCACCCGGGTGCTTCTGAGGAGGAGGTGGTTGTGGAAGAGGTTGGTCTTGGCCAGTGTGATGCTTACTGTCAGCCCTGTGTGTTATCTGTGATGTCGTCTTCTCGTTTTGCTTTTCAGATGACAAAGCGAAAACAGGGGACTGCAGGAGCATCCCAGTTAGCCAATGTGCTTTTTGTCAAAGGTGGAGTCAGACCCCTGGCCCCCTGAAAGCTAAGTTGAGGGACTGGAGGGAGGGGACCATGGTCGGAAATTGCAGGGAGGGCTTGTAAAGTTAGCATAGGGGAGAGGGCTGTGCAGGAGCGGGCCCCTTCGGGCATGTGAAGGGAAGGAAGGGGTTTCTCTTCAGCCCAATTGGGCAGGGCAGTTTCAGGCTGTGTCTGTGGTGCTGTCGTTTGTGGGGTCTGCCTTCTGTGCCATAGACCCTCCTTGGGTCTCAGCATCCTCATTGTTCTGTGCACAGGGAGCCCATCACACACCTTGGGCGCCACCCCTTTGCTCTTGAGTGCCTGTAATCATTGGCATGATGCCCACTGGGCGCTTCTCTCCTTGCCTTACAAGTGTAAAGCATGGATTGGTCTCGTGTCTTGCGAGCTTCTGTTCGGTTCTCCTTTTGTGACATCATTCCTGGCTGTGTCAGCAGCTCTTCTCTCTGGTGGTCCATTTTCATGTGCTGTGGGACTTCTTCCCTGCATCTTTAAGTTCTTAGGTATTGAAGCCAGTCTTCTTGCACATCCATCATCTCTGTTTTGAGCGTAACTTCTTATAGTGGACTATTCTGTTGGACTGTGTTTTTCTGGGGGCTGCCATGGAGCCTCCTCGCTTCACCGTTGCTGCCCTGCCAGTCTTCTTGCCTGACAGCATCTTGCATGCAGGAGTCCTTTCTGCAGAGCGTTTTCTCTCTTCTTTGAAACCTGTTGTTTGTCATGTTGTGTGTAGTGTCGATCTGTGCCTGTGTGTGTTTAGCCAGGGCGGTGCTCTGCCCAGGGGCATAGAGTGAGGTGTAGGTGGCACAGCAATAGAAGTCTATGGTTAATGCCTTGATACGCCTAGACTGTTTAGGCAACGGTTGTATAGTCACCTAGGTGGAGTAGCTATTGGCAGGCTGTGTGGACTGTCCTTTGCACAGTGTTTTATGGAGGTGGTGGGAGCTGTGTGGGAGTGGCTGTTGAGCGCTAGTGGAGCAGTTTGAATCTTGACGGTGTTAAGGCTTGTATGAGTGGGGCTTTAAAGTATGGTTTTGGGGTTTTTTGTGTTTTTTTGATGGCAGGCTGGTTTTGGACTCTAGATGATATTCTGAAACGGAATCAATACATCTGGAATTGTGAAGCTGTGGGTCTGCATCTGGGTGATGTGTTTAATCACTTTCTTCAGATACTGGGGGACAAGATGGGCACCGAGGAGCAATGGAGGAGTTGAGCGGAGTGCCATAGGAAGATGGATCAGTGTGTGGTTTCGGAGGAAAGAGGTGACTGGTGGCTATATGCTGATGTTAGTTGGTGGTTTGTGTTTTTCTTTCTCTGGAGGCCAAATAGCGGTGGGAGGCCGGAGGGTAGGTAGAGGCCAGAAAAATTGGAGGCTGAAAAAGGGTGGGAGCCATGACTAGTGGGCTGGAGTAGTAGTTATTTTTCAAGTGTGGTATTGGTGGTGGAGTTCTAAGCATCTGCTGTTGTTTGTATTTTACAGGTGGTACTTGAGCCTCAATGTGGCAAGCTGTAAACGGCAGGGGCAGGGTGGGCGAGCATCCAAGGTAACAGAGCAGGAGATGGGAATCAGTGCAGGCAGGCGGCAGTTTGTGGCAGTATCTCAGTATGTGCTATTGCATTGATTTTTGCAGGTGCTATGTGACAGCAGAAGATGCTGCAGCCCTTGCCCCTGCATCCCGCTGACGCTGGGAGCAAATCCGCTGCAGTTTCTAGGTAGAAGTCTGAGAGCAAAGTATCCTGTGGCAAGTCAGTGAGGCGTTTCCCTGTTGGTTTTGCAGGCGCTGTGCAGGCTGCCTTTGGCGTTGGATGGGCAATTGAGGTGAGCTGGGGTGGCAGCAAGGAGCAGCATGGGCCGGGTGACTTCTCACAAGCGCAACGGTGATTTTATGCCTCTTGGTACGTTAGGTACCAGAAGTGATGACAGCTGTGGCATCCGAGTCTGGAAAGAGCAGGTGAGCCGAGCACCCTGCTGCCTCTGAGGAGGGGGTTGTTGTGGAAGAGGTTGGCATTGGTTAATGTGATAGTCATCACTGTTTGTGGGGCGTGGTTGTTTTCTTATTGTTTTTTCAGAGGACAAAGTGGAACCTGGTGACTGCAGTAGACAATGTTGTTTTTTCTTTTGTCAAGGATGGATTCTGACCCCTGGCCCTCTGAAAGCTAAGTTGAGGGACAGGGGCTGGGGAGGGTCTGGAGGGAGGGGAACAAGGTTGGGAGGTGTTGTAAAGTTAGTGTAGGGGACAGGGCTGTGCAGAAACAGGCCCCTTTAGGCAGGTAAAGGAAGCAGGTTACTGTTGCACAACACTGTATGCAAGGGAGGGCAGTTCCAGCCTGTGTCTGTGGTTTTGTGTCATTTGTGTAGTCTGTATTCGCCACCTTAGACCTTCCTCAGGTTTCAATGTCCTCTTTGCTCTTTGCACTCAAAGGAGGGCATTGTGCATCTCGGGTGCCATCCCTAGCATCTCGAATGGCTTTGCTCATCATTACAGTGCTAACTGGGAACTTCTTTACTTGCATTACAAGCGTAAAGCATGGATAAGTCATGCATCTCAGAAGGCGTCTATGCATCTCAGAAGGCGTCTATGCATCTCAGAAGGCGTCTATGCATCTCAGAAGGCGTCTATGCATCTCAGAAGGCGTCTATGCATCTCAGAAGGCGTCTATGCATCTCAGAAGGCGTCTATGCATCTCAGAAGGCGTCTATGCATCTCAGAAGGCGTCTATGCATCTCAGAAGGCGTCTATGCATCTCAGAAGGCGTCTATGCATCTCAGAAGGCGTCTATGCATCTCAGAAGGCGTCTATGCATCTCAGAAGGCGTCTATGCATCTCAGAAGGCGTCTATGCATCTCAGAAGGCGTCTATGCATCTCAGAAGGCGTCTATGCATCTCAGAAGGCGTCTATGCATCTCAGAAGGCGTCTATGCATCTCAGAAGGCGTCTATGCATCTCAGAAGGCGTCTATGCATCTCAGAAGGCGTCTATGCATCTCAGAAGGCGTCTATGCATCTCAGAAGGCGTCTATGCATCTCAGAAGGCGTCTATGCATCTCAGAAGGCGTCTATGCATCTCAGAAGGCGTCTATGCATCTCAGAAGGCGTCTATGCATCTCAGAAGGCGTCTATGCATCTCAGAAGGCGTCTATGCATCTCAGAAGGCGTCTATGCATCTCAGAAGGCGTCTATGCATCTCAGAAGGCGTCTATGCATCTCAGAAGGCGTCTATGCATCTCAGAAGGCGTCTATGCATCTCAGAAGGCGTCTATGCTCTGTCTGCTTTTGCAACATTGTTCCAGGCTGGGAGAGCACTTCTTATGTTGAGCAGTCTCTTTTCAGTCGCCTTTTCTGAGATACCTTCCTGGCATCCAAAACTTCTTGAGTCTTTCAGAAAGGCATTGTGCGCACAATTCATCCAAGGTGCGGCCATATCTTTTTCATCTCAGGTCATAGCATTTGACTTGTCTCAGGGTGCCACAGATTCTCACTTGCGGCCCCCCTAGGTCTTCTTGCCCAATGGCATCTCTAGTCCTGGAGTCATTCTTTTTAGACTTTTTTTATGTCTCTGCTTCACGCTATTGGTCTTGTTGGTGTGCAGTGTCAGTCTGTGCATGTTTGTCTGGGTGAGAGCTGCTCTACCTGGGGGGCATAGCAGTGACGGCCAGCACAAGAATAACAATAAGATCCTATGGCTAACATGTAGATAACCCTAGACTTTATAGGCAAAGGTTGTGGAGTCCATTTCTGAGCAAGTATACCTACAATGCAGCAGGCAAGGAGAGTTATTTCTGTAGCACTAGGCAGAGACAGAGGATGACCAGATTGTTATTAATAGCAGGCTGTAGATGGAATCTAGATGGTATACGTAAATGGAAACAAGACTTCTGGGACTGGTCAACTATTGCTCTGCATCTGGGTGACTTGTTCAATATTGCTTTTGCAGATGCAGAGGGATGAGCGGTGCGCCAAAGGGTGACAGGGGACATGCAAGCAGAGCATGGTAAGAAGGTCTGTGTGTGGTGCTGGAGGGAAGATGTGACTGGTGGCTATATGACTAGCTTATAACTTTTGGGTTCTCCGTTTTGAAGGTGCAAAGCAGGGTATTGGCAGCAGAGGCGACTCGTGCAAGCTGGGCCATGACTAGTGGGCTGAAGTAGCAGTTACTATTGTAGCGTTGCATTGTTGGTGAAGTTCTAAGCATCCCTTGTTGTTTGTGTTTTTCAGGTGGTATGTGAGCTTCAAGGTGCCAAAGTGCAAAATGGCAGGGGCAACACGGGTCAGCAGCCAAGGTAAAGGAGTAGGAAGTGTGAATTGATGCGGACAGGCTTTGGTTTTGGGTATTATCTCAGTGTGTGCTCTTTGCTTTGATTTTCTTGCAGGTGCCGCACATAGCGGTGGAGAGGTGAAGCAGCGTGCTGACAAGAGGTCTGAGAAGGTGAGACTGTTGCTGGCCAGGTCAGTGTGTAAGAGCAAAATATTGTGTGGCTCCTCAGTGAGCCATGTCTCTCTTGGTTTTGGAGGCACCTTTTGCATTGGACTATCATTTGAGGTGAGTGGGGTGGGTCACTTCTCGCAGGCACAATGATGGTTTTGTGTCTCCTGGTATCTTAGGTAGCAGAAGTGATGATGACTGCAGCATCCAACTCTGGAATGCGCAGGTGAGTGGAGTGCCCCAGTTCTTCTGAGGAGGGGGTTGTTGTGGAAGAAGTTGGTCTCAACCAATGTGATGCTTACTGTCAGCACTGTTTCTGGGTTTTTTCTTTTTCCAGTGATGAAGTGCAACCTGTTGACTGCAGGAGCATCCCAGATACCCAATGCATTTTGGGTCAAGGATGGATTTTGAGCCCTGGCCCTCTGAAAGCTAAGTTGAGTTGCAGGGGCTGGGGAGGGTCTGGAGGGAGGGGACCACGGTTGAGCATTGTGGGGAGGGCTTGTGAAGCTAGTGTAGGGGAGAGGGCTGTCCAGGAACAGGCCCCTTTGGGTGCCTCAAGGGAAGGGGTTTCTCTTTAGCCCAAGTGGGCAGGGCAGTTCCAGCCTGTGTCTGTGGTGGTGTCATTTGTGTGGTCTGTCTTCTGTATCACAGGCCTTCCTGGGATCTTGATGTCTATGTTGCTCTTTGCATACAAGCAGCTCATCATGTGACTTGGATGCCATCCGTAGGGTCTGGAATGCCCGTACTCATCAGCATAATGCCAATTGGGTGCTTCTCTTCTTGCTTTACAAGCGTAAAGTGTGGATCAGTGTCATGTCTTGGAAGTTTCCAATTGGTTCTCCTTTTGAGTTGTCATCCCAGGCCGTGTCAGCAGCTCTTCTTTCTGGTGGTCCATTTTTGTGGGCTGTGGGACTTCTTCCCTGCATCTTTAAGTTCTTAAGTCTTGAAGCCGGTCTTCTTGCATGTCCATCATCTCAGTTTTGAGTGTAACTTCTTGTAATGGACCACTCTGACTCTGTTTTTCTGGGGCTGCTGTAGAACCTCCTTGTTCTGGGCCATCGTGGCCCTGTGGGTCTTCTTGCTCGACAGTGTCTCCCGTCAGGGAGCCATTCTTCTCGCGGCGAGTTTTCTCTCTTCTTTGAATCCCATTGTTTGTGGTGGTGTGTGTACTGTTGGTCTGTGCCTGTGTGTGTGTTTATCTTGGAGCTGCTCTGCCCAGGACAACCAGGGAACCTGTAAACAGCATGGGCAGGGTGGGCATGCATCCCACATACAGGAGCAGGAGACAGAAATCAGCAAGGGCAGTCTGTGGTTTTGGGCAGTATCTCAGCATGTGCTGTTCTGTTGGAATTTTTTTGCAGGTGCTGCACATAGCCTCGGAACATTGAAGCAGCATGGTAACTAGAGGTCCGAGAAGGTGAGGCTGTTGTGATCTGGTTCTAAGAGCAAAGTATTGTGCAGCAACTCAGTGAGGTGTATCTCTCTCTTGTTGGTTTTTTTTTTCCAGGGAATGTAGGTGCTGCCTCTGGCATTGGACGAGCGTTTGAGGTCAGCTGGGGTGGTAGGAAGGTGGAGCGTGGGGCGGGTGACTTCTCGCGACTGCAGTGGTAATTTTGTGTCTCTTGGTATGTTAGGTACTAGAAGTGATGATGGCCACAGTGTCTGACTCTGGAATGAGCAGCTGAGTAGAGCGCCCTGGTGCTTCTGAAAA